ATGGTTCTCCTTTTCCATAAATTAATTTCCTTCTTTGGCTCCAAAGGAAAATTTGGTCTATCTCTACTACCTATTAATATTGGAGCTGAAAATGGAATAATTACCTCTTCTTCTTCATCTTCATCTTCATCACAATAATCTGATCTGTCATCATCTGAATAACATTTCCTATGATCTTCTGGTGTAATTTGCACATTTTTCCAATCAAAATTTGACAAACTACTTTCACGACCACTAGCAAATTTTTTCATTTGACTCAAATTACAAGGTACTCTATTTGGAATATCACTAGAAATATTATTATCAGCTGAATTACAAGCATCAGATTTTCTTCCCCCTCTTTGAAAAATATTCCGAAAACTGGATCTTGATTTCTTCTTATTACTTTCAGCTAAAGAAGAAACTGAATTTTTCTCCACTGGCTTTGTTGTTTTGACCATTTTCTTCTTCCTTTGTTTGATTTGACCAATGCATGAAACTTTTGGTGAAGTTGGTTCTTGAGTTATTTCATTATTTGATTTTCTTGATCTGGCTTCTACTGGGATTAAAATAGGACCAGAAAATCCCTTGTGATTATGAAGATGAGATAATCTTTTTTCTCTACCTGGACTAAATGGATGGTTTTGGAATATAACAGCAGCAGCTGCTGCTTTTGGCAATAATTTCAAGATCATGTTTTTCTTTGACTTGGCTGGTTTCTCCATCCAAAATTTAGAGCTCTCTTCTGTTGGTGTAGATAAAAAATCTGTTTTTGGTTTAAATGATTAAATTTGTCATCTTTAGGCTATATTTATATGTGTGTGTTTTGGGGGTAGGGTGGGAATTGGGATAGAGGATTGGTACAAAGAAAGAAGATAGATTAGGGTAAGGATTATTGACTTTGTCATGACTGGTGAAAAGACTCAGAAAGAGAGGGCTTAATAAGGAAAATGTCTAAAGAGTCAAAAACAGATAAAGTCGACTGGGCAAAACAACTGGCCAAATCTGAGTAATTAAATATGGAGGTTTTTTTTTTTGTTGTCATAATGTCCGATATTTGTATTGGAGCACGACTATATTCGGATTCGCGTCGTATAGGGCTCCATTCGATAAAAGCGCTCCCTAACAAGAATTTTTTCATACCCAGAATTCGAACCCGAGATATGTGGTTAAGGAAAGAACAATCACATCCACTGCATCACATCCTTTGATGGTAATTAAATAAGGAGTTTTACTTATGTAAACAGATAGTGTAATATTTTGTAATATGAAGTTAATCGAAATATTTATCAGTAACTCTTTCAAAAAAAAGTAAGATTTATAATTTTGGATAGAAGACAGTTTATTTGTTACAATAGGTAATAGGTAACTGGGACCTGATATACCAGTTTAAATAAGATAAGATAAAAATAATTTTATTTTGACGAATATTTTCGTCATACGAAAACCAAAGCAATTAAAAGTTCAAAAACTATATTCAATATTCAAATACTAGGTGGTGTGAAACGACGTGCTAAATCAATTTGCCGACATATTAGGAGTTGTGTCCAACACAAGTTGCCATTGCTATTCAATTAATTGACCTGTTAAACTTTTTCTCTTAACAACTATACTTCGCTTTCTTTTTATCTTTCTTTTGCTTTTTTTTTCTGTGGTGGTTAGATATAAGTAGGGTGTCAAACAAAAACAAAAACGATGGAGTCGGCTATATATTTTCTAGCTTATGCTTTCTTAAATATAACTAACCTCATTTGATTTAAGATTGAAGCTACCTAATTGATTAATTATTTGATGGGATAGAAGGGAGATAATGAATAATCAAAACCTCATTTGCCATATTATTGATGGACAAAGAGGCCAAAATTGAGCTACACGTTGCTACAACCCTACTATATTAGTTCTTGGCTCAAACGAATTTTCGTTTCGAAATTATTTCAAACTAAATTATTCAGCTTGAAATGCCTTCTCCAAAAACAAATTAAGGCTAACTGGCTAACTAAGAATTAAGATACTCATTATAATCACTTTCAAAATCAATAATCCCAGCAACATATTTCACAATTAAACATACCAAACTTAAATCTCAACCAATCAAAGTTGGTTTTTTTTGTATGACAAACACTTAACTAGTCCATAATCATTTGACAAACTTAAATGTCCCAATTAAGTATAATCAAAACATTTTTCTCAATAATTTTAATAAGTAACCCTTACTCCTTGGTATCTAAGAATTTCTCCAATAAGTTCTCCTTTCCCAGATCCAACATATCTTCCACAAATCTCCCCTTCTCTTATAAACAAAAACGTTGGCACTTCAACTACTTCCATATCCTTCAAAAATTGCATGCAACTCTCATTCTCATCACCGTTCATTCTTGCAAATACAACTGTATCAGCCATTTGCCTTGATAGCTTAATCACCGTTGGATAAACTTTAACACATGGCCCACAGTGTTTCAATCCCACATCAAGAACTATTAGTTTTTGATCAATTTTGTGGTCTTGAATTAGTTTTTCTACGTCTTCTCTGCTGTGGAGTTGTACCACTTCAGAATGGTTGTCGCCGTAGTAGAGTACGTCTCCGACTAGTTGATCTGGACCTATTCCTTCTTCCTCGTGGATCTTTTCCATGCTTTTGTAAAAGTTGAAATGTGGTACCTGTTGGGAAAAAACGAGCTTACATTAGCTAAATTATTTTATTTACTATAGTATATAATAACTGTTTCGAGTTTGATGGTACTTGAAAAACAAGAGCTTAACTAAAAGTTTGATACATAATCATTGGATTGCGCACCAGGCGGAACCAGGAATTGAAGTTTATTGGTTCTGAATTTACCACGGAACTCATAACTTGTCTTTATTCTACATTCGTTGTTCATCCTTTTCTTTACGAAGAAACTTTTAAATTTATAATCTTTTGTAAAGTTTCTAAGAGCATTTTAGTCATTTTAACAGAAGAATAATTTATCAGTATTTTTCTACCAAACACATCAACTGCTTATTATTACTTATTAGTTTCAGCACGCCTATTCAAACACGTAATTGCTTATTTGAAAAATCAGTTTTAACACTTCAAGCTTATCAGCTATTTATAATCAGTTAATCCAAACGGTCTCTAAATCACTTTCGGAGTGAGACTTAGTGTGTTATCAAAGTGTCGAAAAAAATACAATGTGTTCTCGCTACAATTTCAAATTTTCTAGCTCATAATTAAAAATGATAATGTGTTCTCGCTAAAATGTAAAAGAATGAACCTATTAATTTTAAATCTTAGATCCAACTCTAATAGCAAGGAGACCTAGTCATACTTAGTTCAATATGGCTCAAATTAAACAGTACACCAATCTTTATCCTTGTGATATTTATGTATTTTGTATTTTATTACTCCATTCGTCCCATGATATTAATTTCTTATTACTATATCCAAAATGATTGACAGAATTCTAATTTGAAAATAATTTAACTTTAAATTTTTTATTTATATTTAATTAGACACTTTTATAGCTATACAAATATTTTGACATATTTAAAATCACATAATTCAAAAATATTTTTTGTTTCTTCGACACTTTATCGAGGCAGGAAGGAATATTATGTTTCATGTAGCGAGATCAGTCAGATCTCTCTATCTATCTATGACAGCATCCATATATAACAATACTTCACTGTAAAAGTCAAGCTTTTTCGAAATCAATTTTCATGTTATGTTATAATATAGGAGTATATACTCTCTGTAACAATATTTCGTTATAATATCCAAAAATATTCGGAACAAGCGAGACTGTTATAGAGCAGTTTGATTGTATTATGTTTAAACTTATAACCGTACCTTATCTATCTTTTCTCTGCGGCAGAGTTCCTTTGTCTTCTCCGTTTCATCACCAATCACTAGCAAGAAATCAACGTCGTTGCATGTCTTACTTAGGTTTACCATAAAAGGGTAAATATTTTTCGAACGTTCACTGTCTTTCCCTGCAAATTCCACCACAACTAGCCTATTTTTGGCTTTGCTAAGGGCTTCGTCTAATTCCTCCTTACTATTCACTTTTACCACTCTTTCATCTTTGTTTGCCTTTTTCTCTACACCTGATGCTGCTGTAGCCTTTGTAACTAATAAAGATCTTCTTGTTCTGAGGTTTGTGGACTTGTCGAATGATTGATTAGTAGGAAAATTGCAGTAAAATGAAGGGCTAATTTTGGTAATAGAAACAAGATCTGGAGATGGTTTGAGCAAAAAATTACTGAGGGTAGCCATATTGCAGTAAAATGAAGGGCTAATACTAGTAAAATTTTCAAGAACAAGAACGGAACACTGAGAAAGAAGGAAGTAGAAAATTGGAGAAAAAGAAGGAAAAAGGAAATCCAAGTTAAGATGAGGCTGACCCTATTGGAGATCTATAAACATATCCACTTGATAGGTTTTGGTTGCATTTCAACCACATATAGAAAGAGGATATCAAGTTATCAACCACTTTGTCTAGATTTTTTTTGTTTGTTTTGTCTTTAAGTGTAATATTCTTTAACATCTATTTCTTTTGATTTCCTATCGGTGTACGATATTTTTATTGGTGAAAATTAAATTTAAATTTGTTCCGAAAAATTTTACATTGAGGGTAAAACGTTTCTTAATTAAGGTGACTGTATATGCAAAATTCGAATTCAAAATTTTTAGTTAATGATGAAGGAGTATTTTATCACTCCCCACAACTTTGTTGTTGATATTTTTTGGCATCTTAAAATATGATGAAAAGAGACTTGATTGGTAATTGGACTTATTTAAAGATTTTTATTGGTTTATGTACACTTTTCTTACATAGATAAATTTGTTATATGTGGTCTGTGGACAATCTAATTGATATTTTCAGTTACAGGATAACAAAGCAATCGCTTCGTTTCAATTTTATATAATCTTAGTTTGACGTGACATTTATTTTTTTGAGTTAAAATGTAAAATTGATTGATATTTTGTTGTCTTAAGTAATAGGAATTGATAAAAGAATTTAAGAAAAATGCACAATCNGTACTATATCAGCTTCTTTCTCTGCTTTTGAGATCCTTCTTATGTCCTTTCAAGATTTTGGGTTAGTTGTTTTTTTCCTCTTTAACCTCTTTTCTTATGTCATTTCATGACTTGGTATTATCTTACAACTTTTTCTCTTTTCTGTTTTGTTTAAATTCAGTGCTTTTGAAGCTGTGAAAGAGAAGCTAAACTAGAAAACAGAGAAGTGATTAGTAAGGTGACAGAAGAAAGCAATGGAGAAATTTTCTGGGCTTAGCCATCTATTTATGACAGTATTTCTGAGTTGCTTCTCAACATTTATGGTAATTCCACCTATGACTGATATCACTTTATCAGCCATTTGTCCAGGCAAAGATGAATGCTCCCTTGCTATTTACCTCACCGGAATTCAACAAGCGGTAACATTTCCTCCTCCATTACTGTAACATATGTCGATCCGATCCCTCGTTTTGGTTAACTGTGTTAACTGTTTGTGACTTGTCGGGATGGTTAGTGTTGTGTATGAACATTTTGGAACTTTCAAATATAGTTATGTCGCGATCACGTAAGCCGTTCCATGGTCGCAACATTACTTACACGGGGAATTCCTCAATTCTTTAGTATTACGTACTATTTGAGAATGGTTGGAATTTCTCCATTTTTAATCAGAAGTTTGATATTTGAGTTACCAAAATAAAGAATCTTTTACTATGAAGTGTTTTCTCCTTTTGGTAGACTTATTAAGTTACTCTATACGAATCAAGATTAGCTGAACCAATAATTTGAATATCCAATATCTAAAGGAAAAAAATGATTTTATCTCCTTTTCCTTTTTATCAACATTACTTTAGTTTTTTGAGTTGTAATTATATACAATACGTATAGCCATTTCAAGAAAAAGTGGAAAATTTTGCTTTTATCATCTATGTGACTCTAGTTATCTACTCTTTCTACTTTCTTCTTTACAGAGTAATGGCTTATTGCTTCCTTTTTCCCCCTCCTCTGTTATCCCATCAAAATGACATTTATTCATTGCTTATCTTACAATCAACTCTCATTGCTTTAGAGTCTCTTTTATGGATATTATCAACGTACTCGTGTCATTTGTGAATTGTCTAAGTTAATTAATTAACCCGTGATTATCTTTGAAGAAATATTTTTACTATCACTATATATATCTAAACATATTCAACTATGTGCTCTATCTTATTTTCCTGATTACCACTCTTATTTATTATGAATTCTTACTTTAAGATATTTTTCAGCTGACCTAATAGTATAAAAACTCTTTTAAACTACTGTAAATATATAAAAGTTAAACTCTAAATAAAATCTACTATTACAATAATAACCATAACAAGAATTTTTTATCACTTATAGTATTTTCTCACAATATTAACATATGTGCTCTAGTTTGATAAAAGAAATTATAAGCGATGTAAATTCTAATACATTCACAGGTTAAATTACTACATTATATTTTCTTGTAATTCCATTAGCCCCTATAGAATTAGTGAAAATGGCATGAAAATTAATGTTCATTAAGAAACTAAAATCAACAACTCGAATAAAACATGAAAAAAGTTCGGAGAAAAAAGAAAGAAAAAGAAAAAGAAAAAGTGGATGATTTTAATCGTTAGCTAGATAAAGAATCTTAGTAAGTACAGCACTAGTATATGTCTGTGTATGAATTTTTTAATCTCCACGCCTATGGTACGATAATAATCGATTGCATATTACATTTTTGGACCACTATTTATAGGAAGTTTCCTCTTCTAAGTCTTCTTCATTGGTTCTTTAAGAAACTTCCTTCACTGGCAAATGAATTATTACTTTTTTAACTTTTTTTATCTGATTTTTTAAGAGTTCGTCATTTGTCAGTGAACAGAAGTTTCATGTTATTATTTGTCCTACTTCCCTCTTAAGCTACCCTTTAAAGTACAATAAATACTTTTTTGTTTGTATTTTACTTCTTTCTTTCTTTTTTAACTTAGTAGTTTTTATTTGAAGCATACTCGCTCGACTGATCTAGATTTACGCTGGTAGGGCCATTATAGGGGTCAAAATGTTCAATACCAGGAAATTATATATTTTTAATACTCGAATTTAATCTCTTGTTAAGAGCAGAAGAATCTCAACCGAGGATCTAGATGCATTATATTGACGTGGGTTCCCGAGAACCTAGTAGCTTTTACCCTGACCATGTATATGCATCAAAAAATTCATTAAAAATCTTTAAATATTTTACTCTGAACCCAGTTATTAGCTTGAGATTGACGAAGGAACCCATAAAGTTCAAATTGTGGATCCGCCTTTATATATAGAGTAGTGACTTAACGGTTGTAGCTTCTTTTTGCGCTATCTAAATTTAGAAGTTTAATTGCGCCAATTTTTCGAATGGAAGTCTCGGAGCAACGGTAAAATTGTCTCTGTGTGACTTATAGGTCACGAGTTGGAGCCGTGGAAGCAACCATTAATGTTTGTATTAGGGTAGGACTATCTACATCACACCCCTTGTGGTGCAGCCATTCCTCGGACCTTACATAAATGCGAGATACTTTATGCACCGAACTGTCCTTTAATTCCGCCAATTTTTCATTTTGTTCCTCTCTGCTTCTTTTTTTATTTTATTTTTTGAAATTAAAAGTTTTTATGGTGTATTTTTGCGCATGACTATTTTGCAGATAGTAGGAATGGGATCACTAGTGATGATGCCAGTATTGGGGAATTTGTCAGACACTTATGGTAGAAAAATCATTCTAACTGTTCCCATGACCCTTTCCATCTTCCCTCTAGGTAATTTCTTTCTCCATTTTCATCATTTCTTTTTCTTTTCTTTTTTTCCTTTTCCACGTAACTTAATGGGATATTAAAGCAATTCCACATCTGATTTGATTGTGATTGACATTAGTGTAATTAGTATTTGAGAGAACTTTAAAAAAAAAAAAAAATAGACGTCCAACTATACGTTTTAATCCATTCAGTTAAGTGGATTCTTTGGCCATTTGCCCATGGTGCGCAAAGTAATGGATAATATGAATGTGGATTTAAGTTATATATAATGATAATATAAAATAAAATTATACTATCAGTAAATGTTACTAATATCTAATAGCAAGCATGAAAGTTGAACTCAAAGAAAATTGAACACTGAAAACAATGAACAGACAAATTCCTAAAACATTATCCAAATGCCAAGTTAGAAAACTTAATTTGTTCTCTTTCTTAGCTATAACCTTTTTCTTTTTTTAAAAGTGTTTATCGAAAAAATCCATATCGAAAACCAAATTAACTTTTTTTTTAATCTACTTCATAGAAACTTAAAAAGGAAAGTTAAAGGTATTATAAAGCACGCATAAAATACTTTATTAAATTTGTTGCTTTCAATCTCTTTTTCTGAAACCTACAACAATTTAAACTTTGTTTTCATCACCTAAAAAGAGAGGACTGAAAGTGGAAACTGATATTGCTTTCACGTTCCTTCTCTTTTCCTCCACTCTACCCTTTCTTTCTTTAGTTTCTTTTCTTTTCCTTTTTCCCTTTATCAACACTTCTCGATGGTGGCAATTGATCAAACAAAATTTTCTTTCTTTGTTTATTTATGGGTTTTTTTCCTATAGAAAGATAGATGCCGCTATAAAACATATCATTTTATAGTATTATGGATCTTTTAAAATAGGAAATACAGTACAAAATGGATAAAACGAGTCCGCGATGATCAACAATTAATGCATTTTGTTTCAAATTTTACTTTGAGATATCCCTCCTAAAGAGGATATTTATGTACATAAAAGGAATTTTAATTGGTGCTTTACATCAGATTTTATTGAGTGTGACTCGTAATTAGTAGTATCATTTACCAAAGAATGACTCAGGTTATGAGATGATTGAATAACCGAAAGCAATTTACTTTGAATACATAGTTGACATTCGTAAAAAAACATCTATGAATTATGAATTCAATCCACTTAAATTTCATTTTGGACGGAATAGATTTACTAATTCTTAAACATTTAATTATATCAAAGTAACAAAAAATTAACAACCTTGCTGATATAGGTTTGTTTAATGTGTTGGGATATGAATTTTTTAGTTAATAAATCGCAATAAAAATATTACACTACTGTCTTGAAAATCTGACGATTATTTTATTGAAATGGAAACAGTGATATTAGCGTACAGCAGGACAAAGTACTACTTCTACGCTTACTACGTCCTAAGAACTCTAATTGCCATGATTTGCGAAGGAAGCGTTCAGTGTCTTGCTCTTGCCTATGTGGTAATTTTCATACCTTAAATACATATACAGTGTTGGTTACAGGTTCACGTGAATCTAATAACTTTTGCTCAGACCCTATTGAAATCGTTGTACGAACCCATAAACTTTTATGTTTCAGGCCGACAATGTTCCAGAAAGTCGACGAGCCTCCGTTTTTGGTGTCCTCTCAGGGATTGCCTCTTCTGCTTTTGTTTGTGGAAATCTCTCTGCTCGCTTCCTCTCCACTGCTTCCACTTTCCAAGTACGAGACATATCTTCAATTATGATTTAAGTTAATTTTCAAGTTCTATATGTTGGTAGTAAAAAAAAAACTCGATTAAGTCACTTACTAAAGTAACTACAAGTAAATCTCTGTGAAAAAAAAATTGCTAAGTAATTTGACCTTCGTACTCAAAGCTTGCTACCTGTAGTGGAACGGAGGGAGTACGTAGCTTATTTTTTTAATTTACCATTTCATGCTTATTATGGGCTTATCCGACGTAGAGGTTATGTGTTCGTCTGAACTCATAACTTTCGCTCATACCCTGTTTTCTGCCTAAACAACAACAACAAACTCAGAGTGTTCGCACAAATCGGGTCTGAGGAGGGTGTTGTTTCCGGTAGACTCTCGGCTCATGAAAGATAAAAGGGAAGGGGCAAGCTTTCTGCCTAAAAAGTCATTAAATATGTACAAACAATAAATTTTGAACCCATTAAATTACATGGGATATGGTAGAATCGCGAATCTGAAGCCATAAAGTTCAAATCTTGAATCCGGCTCCGCTTATTATTGAAAATTATATGTGTAGGTTGCTGCAGCAATGGCAGTGATAGCTTTAGTATACATGAAGATGTTCCTTCCTGACTCAATAATGAAAGGTAACATTTGTTCAAAAGAAACAGAGACCATTTGTCTTTTGGAAAATGCTCCCAAGAAAGGCATCCAATTTTTCAAGACATTGCCTTCTTTCAGCGATATGCTCTGCTTATTAAAGACCAGGTTAGACTCGAACGTGCATATAATAAGATCACACTCATTCTGAATGTATCGACTTTAGACCCTATGATTGCATCCTATAAATACTTATATATAGGCATTTTGAATATATTGCAGCTCAACATTTTTACATGCAGCTGTTGTTTCATTCTTTGTTAATGTTGCACAAGTTGGACTTGAGGCTTCTTTACTTGTAAGTTTGATTTTTCAATGTCATATACAAGAAATTAGTTTATATTTCTATGTATTGGAGGACTTCAATGACAAGTAAATTTGGTTTTCATCAAAATCAAATGCAGTATTTTTTGAAGGCGCAATTTCATTTTAACAAAGATCAATTTGCTGATTTGTTGATAATTTCTGGTATAGCAGGATCCATATCACAGGTAAACTTGATTTTGGATCTTTTTTGTTTTATATGTTCATTGTTCAATTTTTTTTTCCTACTGTTCAATTGGTTTTTTATTTATTTTTGCTTTCTTTTGAACAATTGCAGTTACTTCTTATGCCCATATTAGCTCCTGCTTTTGGAGAAGAGAAACTGCTTTCTATTGGCCTCTTCTTCAGTTGTCTACATGTACGAAGCTAATTTTATATATTTTAATTGCATCTATTTTTCACTGTTTAAAGTACTTAGTAACCTCTTTGTACTGATGTTGTCTCCAAATTAAAATGCAGATGTTACTTTACAGCATTGCTTGGTCCTCTTGGGTAGTAACCTCACTTCTTTACTAGTCCATTTCATATGTTTTTACTTTCTTTTTTTTTCCTTTTCTCTTTATGTTATATTGATTTAATGCCTCATCCAATTTTCCAGATGATTAAGGATTTTGCTAATGTGCCAAATGTGTGCAGGTCCCTTATGCTACTGCTTTGATCTCTGTTTTCTCTATTTTCGCAATGCCATGTGTAAGTTAATTTCAATAATCCTTCTGCTGTTCATTAGTTTAAACATTAGAATTTTGATAAACCCTTTGTCTTAACTGCAGTTAAAGAGCATTGCATCTAAGCAAATTGGACCAAATGAGCAGGTACATTTTCAAAAATTGCTACAACTTGCTCACAATTTGATATTACTATTATAAAAGGATTATTGTCTATTACCTTGCCCACAACCTGATTTTAGTATTATTTTCTCCTTTTAGGGAAAGGTTCAAGGATGCATCACAGGCATATGTTCATTTGCAAGTGTAGTTTCTCCTCTAATATTTAGCCCTTTAACAGGTAGCTAAACTAACCCCTTTTTCTGTCTATTATCTTGTATCATTTTCTCAGACCTAAGTTAACTTAATCTGAATCGTGGTGTTTTGGTCCAGCTTTATTCCTATCACAAAATGCACCCTTCCATTTCCCAGGATTCGGTATAGCCTGTGCTGCCTTTGCATCAGTAAGTACTTTAACATTTTTTACATATCCTCTGTTGCAATTTCTCTTTAGTTCTAGTAAGATCTTGTATGTAATACGATCGATGATACTGCAGATGCTGGCCTTTATTCAGAGTCTCATGATAAGGCCAGATGATACTGTGATCAATTGCAGTCCAAACGATTCAGACTCAGGAGAGCCATAATTTTTGGAATTGGAGTACGAGGCTCTAAAGTCTAAATCAGGTTGTGTATAGGATTAAGAATCCATAGAAATGTATGATAATTAAAGTAGATGTTGAAGGTTCTTTTTATGTTATTTATTCTTAGAAGTGAATGCTATATGATGCACCACCATTTCCTTCATTTTGATGAAATCTTCCTAATACTAGTAAATATAAAAAATAGAGAACGCAACGCACAGTTAGAGCTACTAAATTACACGATTGTCATAGATAGGAATACTGTCTCTTTACAAGCTATTGCAGCCAACTAATATCTGCCTGAAGAATGGAGATTTCAGATAGATCTAATCAAACATTATTATTATAACCTTAATTTCAAGTAAAAAGATTCAACAGCATTATGAGCCTCAATCGCAAACTGCTTCTAATTATTTTGAGGTCAACAAACAATGCAGACCCCTTTATTTCCAAGAAAACAGCCAAAAAGGGAACCATTTCACATTCATAGACCTTGATGCAACTGACAAAGCTAGGTAGCAAAAAACAACACTTCATAAGGCTAATTATCACTAAAAATGTGCCTTGTAGATGTGCTCATCTTAGTAGGTCAAGGAAAACAAGTGTTGCGAGGAAATCTCAATGCATATATAAAACATCTAAACTGTAACAAACAAAAGCTTCATGAGAAAACCAAGCTACCATAACATTAAGTATGCCATAAGGGTAAGTTCAACAGAGTAGAAACTTGTCACCCAGAGAAGTTGAAGGTTCATGATTGTGTAAGCAGTTTATCAAAAACTCAATTAAGGCGAAATTTCTCGTATCCTGAGACAGAAAACTACTTGCAGTCTAGTCATGGAAAGCTCACTCCTGGAAGATAATTACAGGATTGGCATAGGATCTTGCACAACCTAATAATTTCTCAGCCAATTGAGATAAAAGTCGGGACTCACAGTTCATTGAACATCTCTTGCACTTTCTTTTCTCTGATGTGATAGTGAACTTCTCCAAAATCGTTGAACTCTTCAACAGGAATTCTGAAAGTTTGAAAAGCTTTCTTAATTGCCATTGGAAACTGTACTTCAAGCACACCCCGACGGAGATGCCAATCTTAACATTCTTGAGGTTGGGAAACTGAAAGCTTGAAATCCAACTCTCCATATCATTATTATCTCCTTTGGCCAAATATCTTGACTCAAAGCGGCGGCAGGAACTATCATACTGGAGACAGAAAATATATCCAGGATCAAATGCAGGTAAGCCTAATGAAACTGCAGAAAGGTACAAAAATTGATTTCACAGTAGAAGTGTCTTGTCATAAAAATTTCAGAACCAACGAATCCTAGTGGTACATGGAAAATGATTAAGAGGGCTGTTCCAATCATAAGATTCATCGAGCACGTAACCTAACCAAAGAGTGATAGCGCAACAGTACTTTTTGTTTCGAAGCTCATTTGCCTCAAAGAAAGCAACAACACCAACCATATTAATGTGAAGCTTTATAGTGACAAAAGCAAGCTTCTTACGGATAATTACAGATATATTTGCATTCTCCTTCAGAAAAAATTTCCTGGGAGGGGAGGTTGTTCAAATTTCATCAAATGAATAGACGTAAGAAGAAAAGAAAATGTTCCAGGAAGTTACAGGCCTAATGGCGATGTCTATGTTGAGTGTGTCCGTATGAGGTGACGCTCGCAAAAGTCCAGCTACTCCATGCAAATTAAACTTTCCTATATGCAACTCTAGTGTAAGATATTTGCATTTCAGGTCTGGAATCAGCACCCAATGCACCCCTCCAAACTTCAAGGCGCACAGGACCTGGTGCAGTGAAACAAATGAAACCAATAAAGAATGGAGAAAGCATTAACAACAAAAAGAAAGAACTCCACAGCAGAGAGATAGTGTCGTGACAAATCTAAACACTTTAAGCAACATCAATGTAAAAAGATCTTGGTTGCAAGATGTATCTTTTTCCGGTATCATAAAAGAAATATCCAATTTTGAAAAGTTGACAAACGGATTGCAAAAAGGCACAGAAGGCCGCACCTTTCTGTAATTAATCCTGTTGCGCTTATAAACAACTAAAGACCAATCCCTAAGCGGAGCTTGCATTTTCAAACATATCTCCTTTCTTATAGGAATTAGAAAGGCTTTACAAAGTTGAATATACTCAGTTGATTTACCCCTTCTTACTGTTACAATCCATATCTCAGGTAGTTAAAATAAATTTATCTGTTCAGCGCTTAGAAAAAAAATCCATTTAGAAAATCTAACAATGAGTTGTTGTTTGTAAAATTGTGCAAAGGTACTCAACGTATAATGTTTGCATTCTATGACGAATTGACGACTACTAAACCTCAATAGAGAAAATAAGGACTTTTGAGTTAAAAACAAACCTCTCTGAAGCAATTTCCGATTGATAGCTCGGTTGCATAACTCAACTTATGAAGATAATCTTGCATGAGTGTCCTCAAAACTTGATGAGAATAATCACAATTTTCTTCCTCACCATCAAAGCCACCTGTACCTAAAGCCCCGATGCCTTTGATACATTTATTGTTGAAAGTAAGCTTCGCATTAACTAAGGAAGATACATCGACAAGCCTACACATGAGATTATAAAGATTTCCTGAAATCTCCAGTTGCTGAAGATACGGGGCAATAATTTCTAAAGAACCATCATTTTCGGCATCAGGCCGCCAATGGCTTGACAATGTCAGTCTCTTTAAATTTGAGGAAGTTATTTCAAGACGACTAAAACCCCGAAAGAATGACAACTACAGAGTTTCTAAAGCAGGACAACCTGATAGTAAGTTCACAATATCATCGTCATCTAAACTTATTAGGTACAGATTTAGGCTCTTTAGAGAGTTCCAAACTATGGTCAGTTCCTTGTCAAACACCCAGTGGCTCAAATTCAATGTAATTAATGACGAACAATTGCCTATAGATAGAGGCAATTTATAAGTGAGCTCTTCATCATCTGAACACAATATAATATCTTCCACTTTTCTTTCTACAGCAAAATTAATCCAACGGCTGACTTCCAACTCAAAATTCCATCTAGACATGTAATCAAAATCAAGTTTGAATTTTTTGATTTTTGAACAACTGCAATGAGTTAAAACTTGGTCCACAAAGTGTATGAATTTTTCTGTCTTGTAATCAATATTAATGAAATGGAAGTTATAGATTGAATACCAAAGAAAACGCCACCGTTTTGAGAGAACACGATGCGACGGCATCTTTGGTCGGCAAAAGAGAGAGGATTTGTACCAGGAGTGCGTCCGGCAACTGACTAAAACGGTCTAGGGTTTCTTCAACTCCATTATTTTGTTTCTTCGACATTGAATCTCTCAGTTTAGAACCGCCATTTTTGCGGGAATGGAGTGAAGCCATGATTCCGAAATTCTTCAAAAGGTGGGCCCAGTCTTGGTTTCGTTTTATACATGGGCCTTTTCCGAGCCTTATTATTTATTTTTGGGAAACTAATTTACAAGTAGCTCATTATCAAAATTGGTCAATTCATAAAATATTACTACTATTAACCAATTAGCTATTTATAGCAAAAAAAGATGAAATTATTGCTTTCTTTTGAGTGGTGTTATTAGAATATATTGGGTACATCTTAAGGAACTTGAATCTCGATTTTGGAATGATTTGGTAAAGTTTTGAGGTGGTTTGAATTGAAAATTCGAAGTAAAAACTGAACATGAATAAAATGATATGTGTATCACATATGTATCATATTTGTATCAATTGTGTATCACGTGTACACCTATGTGTGAGATACATGCGTGATACATGTTTGATACATATGTCGCAGAAGCATTTTTTGAACTCGATTTAATTACGAATTTTGATACAAAACGTTCAAATCACCTCCAATCTTCCTCAAATTTTATATATTGACTTATCTATATGTTTTCAATAAATTTTAACTATACCCGTTGAAAAAGTTCCTTTTTGCTTAGATTTTTGGAATATTGTATTTTTGTTTTTTGTATTTCATCACCTTATTTGCTACCTCATCCATGAAATTTTCTTTCCGTCTTGCATCTAATGTTGCTAGTCACATTTAAAATTATGGAAGGAGATTTTTGCATATGATTCTTTGAGAGAAAGAACCTTATTTATTTGGTTTTTTAATTTTTATATGTGTTTGGCTAGTTTTGGTAAGTCTATGACTAATGGCTAGAGGTTGATAAGTTGACACTTATTTGAGATATTTGTGTAAGTTTTCCTTTATTTTTGTCTTTAAAATACTAGTATTACTAAAAATTTAACGAAAACGAAAATGAGAACTATAGCCTGTTTGGCCAAGTTTCTTTTGAGACAAAAACTTTTTTTTTTTTTTGTGGTCAAAAGTATTTTTCTTCTAAAATTGAGGTGTTTGCCCAATCTTTTGAAAGAAAAAGATGCTTTTGAAGAGAAGCAGAATCAGTTTTGGAGAAGCAGAAAAAAGTAGTTTCTCTTCAAAAGTACTTTTTTAAAAACACTTTTGAGAAAAATACACTTATGAGCAGTTTTTTAAAATTTAGTCAAACACTAATTGCTGTTCAGAAGTAATTTTTAAATTAATTAGTCAAACATAAATTGTTTCTCACTAAAAGTACTTTTGAGAAAAATATTTTTGAGATAAAACACTTATCAAAATAAGCTAATTTTCGCGTTTGGCCGAATGGTCTACTAGTCTCTAGTACATTATATTATAGGTCGCCTATTGGACCAGCGACCATAGGCATATTGGGCTAGCAACCTTCCGTACGTCGCCTATTGGACCAGCGACCATAGGACGCCTATTGGGCCAGCGACCTTTTTGTCGCCCGTGAATAAGCGACCAATCACTAGAATTTAGTTCATGTTTTTTCTTCTTTTTTTTTCATCCGGAGTCCAATACCCGTAATCGGGTCTAAAAGTCATGCATAATAAATTCTCCTTAAAAAAACGATTTCATACTTCGAACATAAACTTAGAATCTCCAATTAAAGATGAAAGAGTACTTACGATTCCACACAACCTTCGAAGATCGGTGAATTTAATTCACGTTGCAACTCGTTTAGGCTGCAGATACTAAATATATTTCCTTCATTAATGCACCAAGCTTGAAATAGACATGTTTTCTTCTTCAAATATTGCGTTAAACACATTAGCACTTTTTTAGTTAGTGATAAGAATTGAGATAGTTATTCCATCAATTTTGTTAATTGAAAATCGAAATTCTTAGAATGGTGACGATTATTCTTTTTTGAGAAATGAAAAAATCATTCTTTGGGGGAAAAATTATGCATTTTTAGGATCTGCATGCTCTAGAGCCTATATATAAGGAGTCCAGATCAACTTTGGTAGAAGCAAAAATATCTACTATCAAGAAGATTTGACTGGAAATATTGACAAAATTCTTGCGCAATCCAAAAAAAAAAAAAAAAATGAAGAAACAACTGCTCCTTTTTATTTTAAAAATTATTTGAGATGGTAAAGAATCTATATTCTCTGTGTAGTATTCTATATCTCCTAAATTAACCTGGTAGAAAATATTTTCTTTCAAATGAGTTTGATACGATGAGAATTTAAATTAGTCGAGCCAATAAATACTTAATACCGAGTGATTAAAAAGGATTTTAACTCATTATTGCGTAATTCAAACAAGTTGATCGCAAAAATTTTCTTTTCGTAGTGTCCTTATGTCCTCATGTGCTCATGTTCCATTTTATATAATAATATCTTGGGAGACAAATAATTTTGTAACTTGATTATATATTATATGTCTCTTTAGTTTTAGAATAAAATATTGTATTTGGATCCAATGTTACTAGGAGATCGACTTGAATATTCATATAAAATAAGTGTGAGATTTAGAGAACTAACTTAAAGAAACTCTTTTATTTTTTTAAATAAATAATTAGTACTAGTATTAAACTAGAAGGGGTCCGTATTAATCTTTGTACTTTGATTTTTTTTTTTTTTTTGTCTGAAGCGGAATCTTTTTTGTTCCTTTAAGTAAAAGATTTAGTACAATTCACTATAATTTACGAAATTATCAATAATATTAATGGAAAAAATAATATTGCGTGCCCTGCATTGCAAAACCCATTTACCATTAAAGGTGTGGTGGTATGGATAGTATCGTTCAACTATAATTAAAAGTTTTGGTTTTAAGCTAAAAAATGAAAAAGTCTTGATGAGAAATATTTTCCCTTTTAATATACTTCCTCCGTTCACTTTTACTTGTCACGTTTTGACTTTTCACGCCCCTTAAATAATAATAAATGAAGTGCATAATTTATCATGATACTCATATTGATTGATGCATATTTTTAATGATTTTGAGAAAATAATTTGAAATAATTAATTAATGTTGTGGGTATAAAAGGAAAAAGAAAATTACCTACTGATATGTAAAAAGTGATAAGTAAAAATAAAAATTTATTTTTAAAATATTGGACAAGTAAAAGTGAACGGAGGAAGTATCTTACAAGAACAAATTCGAATTAATCACAGGCACTGGTCGAGTAAACCCCAAAAAAAGATAAGGGAAAATAAAAAAAACAGACCACTTGGATTTACTCCTCGTTTAGGCCGGTTGTGAGTCGTGACTTGCGAGGGCAACTTGCTTGATTTACAAATTAAGTAATGAAAGTTTGCGGATTGATCATTTAGAGGTTTTGCACAACATTGAAAAACGAAGTTATCTTGGAAACTGGAAAAGAGGGCAAAACGAAGCTGTCTCTGTTTTGTTGGGGCTTGAGAGAATTAATAAACCACAATTTATTTTTAACATTTTTCTACAATTTTAATATAACGAATTAAAGTTCGATTTGGAAATTCAAATGCATTGCTAAATCAGTGTTTTAAGAATGTTTTTTTCTTTGCTAAGAATGTGAAAGCGTAAAAAGTGACATTTTATCTATCATGGGGAAGATAAGGGTCACATAATTCCATGAATTCTAATTATTATGCATATACACATAATAATATTTTGAATCACTTATAATATACTAATACTTTCTATAAGTTATAATCAAATACTTAAGAGAAAACTCTCAAACAAATTTTATGCAGCATACTAGATAAATATTTCTCCAGTCTACATAAAACAATTGTCAAACTCAAAAAACTTGAAACCTGACAATTATATTGAGAAACCTCTATTTTTAACCGTTTCAAAAAATAATATATATATATCAAGTGTTTTAAAAGACGTGTGCGTAGTATTTAATTTTAAATATTTTATAAAATAATATAAATTATAAAAAATATTATTANTATATATATATGTGTGTGTGTGTGTTCATCCCTACAAAAAACTAATCAAAGCAATCCATTAATATTATACCATGCTTACAACTTACAAGCACAAGTTTGCTTAAATAATTAAATATAAATTGAAAAAGATTTCATGTTTTCCTCGATAACAATCAAATTCCATATACAAAAATCAAAGTTATCCAACATACCCACATTGCCCAGTTATCCACTTTCTCATAAATCTAATCAATACATATAGAAGCACGCATACATATTTTGAAAGAGAGCAAGAGAAGCGCCGAACTTGAAAAACTAATTACGTACATATTTACAAACAAGCTAACAGTGAAATATAAAAAGAGACGAAAGTAACTTGAGTTCAAAATAATATAGTAAAGAATTGGGAAAGACTTCTAATTTAGGGCTAAAAAACTCGCCTGGGCGTACGCCCTACTAGACTTTCGCCCCCACCTTCGCCTCGGGGCGTTTTTGGTACGCATCGCCCCAGAGCTCACCCCGAAAATGCATTTTAAAACACTGATATGTGTGTGTATCGTATACAAAATATATACATATTTTATATATTTTTCGGTTATAAAATATAATTAATTTCAACCGAATCAATTTTATGGCCAATTTTCGGACTAAGTTTTAATTTGTCCCGAAAATTCCGTTTGTATACTGTAAAATTCTTTTTTGGTAATACCTTACGTTGGAATAAGCAAACAACAAAAACACTAAATAGGGCATAAAGGCAACTTTAAGAATCTATTGGAGTAACTATTTAAAGAGACATTTTTGGAATTTATTCATTCCAATCCTATCCTCTTCCTCTATAAACAAAAATAAGGACTAATTCCGTTTGGTGAAGTTATTTTATTTTTGGTCCGTTCCAAAAAAAATTATCTTTTTTTAAATTTGGAAATAATTTTGCTTAAAATTACCATTATACCCTTAACGAATAAATTGGAACTGATGGAGTACTATTTGGACCAATTGACCAACACATCGCATTTAACACGGAATGCCGCCACGTGTACAGATGATTTATTGTGAACTGCAAATTCCAATGCGACCAACGTGCGTGCCACCATTTTCTCTGCAATATGTTAAGTAGTAGTCGATAATATTAAAAAATATTAATTAAATTA